CATCATTAGTATGGCCCTGTGCTTTATTTCTTCGTCAGCCATATCCCCTGTCAGCTTTCCTGTTACTTTGCCCGAGGCTGATATTTGACTAACCGGCCCAGACACAAGCCCTGCGGCTTGAAGCCTCTGAGACAGGCAGCCAGGAGGTCCAGTGCATCTTCTCCAAATAATACAAGTATTTTGGTCCAGCCTTCTCTGAGAGCAAGATAAGATGTCATTAGCTGCATTAGCCTGATGGGCCCAACCCGGGCAGCTGTATTATTGGGATGTCTCCCATTGCCTGGGCTGCGGTCTACCCCAAGGAAGGTGAATGGCATTGTCTATGTGTGATCAAAGTGCAGCTGAGGATGCCGGGACTCTTGGGTCCTCCTCCTGGCCCTGCCACTGCCTTGCTGTCTGACGCTGAGGAAGTCACTTGGCCACTCTCTTGTGGATTTGCAGTGGGTTAGTTAAAGATGGGATTTCGTAACCAGAGCAGCTTTGGCTGTGGCCTCTTCTATGAAAGCCATGAAAAGAGCTGTCTCGTTCAAGCCACCGTGGGGTTCTCACCAGCTGGCATTTCCACAGCACCCATCAGCTCCTGATACTTTGCTGGAAGGGGCTGGAAATTGCTCTTAACCAATGCAACGGGCTCAGGGACACTTAATGCTTATGCCCTGGCTACTTGATTCAAGATGGAGTTACATAAAGCTCCATAAAGAAATGTATGCATTGGCAAATTACAGCAACGGATCATTAATAAATAATCATGACCATCATTAGCATGGCTCTATGCTTTAACTCTTCATCAGCCATATCCCAGGTCAGCTTTCCTGGTACTTTGCCTGCGCTACCTCCACCCTGGTGCTGGCCGGGATGCTGCACTGCCTCTCGAGGGCCGTTGGTTCTTTTGGGATAAGCTCGAAGTATCCCCAGCATTGCCTTTTCAGCGTGACCCAAACCTTCAGCCCACCTTGACTGATGGTCACAGAGTTTTAGTCTTGGTCACAGCCTGGTTGTTCCATCCCGAAAACCAGAGCTGGGCCCAAAACCAAAACCTTCAGACTCCAAAACTTGGCAGCTGGGGCCTAGCTCTGCCTATCAGCAGGAGCATGGGGTGCGACTTTCTGGGGGAGCTGTGCACCCCCGTGACCCTGAACACCCATAGGAGTTAAGAGTCATAGAAAATGAAGGTGGGAAGGGAGCTCAGGAGGTCACATCTAGTCCAGTCTGCTGCTCCAAGCAGGACCAGCCCCAACTATGTCATCCCAGCCAAGGAGCTGGGCACTTGACTCCCATCTCACCCATTGCCTGGGGCTGAGGACCCAGGGCAGGGATGTGATCCACCTCCGCTCCGCACATCCTCCTATTGACACCAGAAATGCTGTTGGAGAAGCAGCATTGCAGCCGGGGGCTTTGCCTTTCTCCACGTTGGCTTCCCAGGACACACTGCTGGTTGGAGTTTCCTAGGTAAAAACAGCGGTGGCCATGGACCACCTCCCGGGTCAGCAGCTGCATGTCCTGCTGGGGGTCACCACCTCAGACCTCAACCACTGCAGCTAAAGGAGCAACTCCGTTCGCTCAAGGCTATTATCCTCTAGTGGACCAACCCCTCGGGGGGCGCGTGACCCACGGCATGCTGCACTGAAAGAGGTGCGACGGGTGCGACGGACAAAGCTCGTTAGTCCTGAAGCCACGTGGTGGGGAGAGAAGACAGTAATGAGCTGCGGGTTGTGTCCTTCAGCATGAGCCTGCCAGTGGCTGCACCCCGGAGGAAAAGGGGAGGCCAGGTGGGTTTCACCACCATGGCAGAAGGGCCCAAGCATGCAAAGTGCCTGGGTGGGCTCGTTTGAGTCCCATTTCTCTTTTTGGGGTTTTTTGTTGTTCTCCCG